AATAGAGAGCTGAGTCAGTAGGTAGCCCCGTATCGGGCCAGAGAACCTCCGGATCTAACAAAGTCTAAGCAGCGGAGGCCGAGACATCCTGACTTCTAGTCCGTAGTGTGGACCAAGCTCTGCACGAACTGGATTCTGCATTTCCCTTAATGCAAATGAACATCATCTCTGATTACACTCTCTCTTCCACCGGTCACCTTTGTACAAAAAAGCGACTTAAACAATTAAGTAATTATCTAAATAGTTGATTGATATATTTTCTTTTGATCGATTAATTGACTAATCTTCACAGCTCGAGGAGTCAGAAGTTACTCTGAAATGTAGTGGAGGAGAATTACAAAGTATATATAAATAATATAAATTTCTCACATTGTATCTGATGTGTTTTCAGAGATGTGGTACTGGGTGTTCCTGTGGTGTCTCTTCTCCTCGCTCTTCCTCCACGGGGCGGTGGGGCTGCTCATGTTGGTCATGCTGCAGCGCCACAAGAGGGGCCGCCTCATCACGCTGGTGCTGGTCAGCGCGGGTTTCCTGGCCTCCCTCTCCGGAGGCGTCATCACCAGTAAGTCCACTTTTATTCTACACAAGTCTTCATTTGTTTTGTTTTTTGGACGGACCTCAACGGCGTTCAGCGTCCGGTTCAGCCTGGACGAAGACGGGAGGTGACGGGGAGGGAAGGAGAGCGTCGACTCCCGTCACACAGAGGGAGACAGGAGTCGACGGGGCGAGTTCAGACCCCTGTTTTATTGTTTACCTTCCTATTTTCTTCGCTTTAGGAAATGTAATGACAATTTAAGGGCTGGGAAATGTTTAGCAACTAGTGCCAACATGACACCTGCAGTGGCTGACTTACAAATTGGGCAAACCGAGCCAGGATCCCCAGCGGCCCCGAGGAATGAGTTTGCAGTAATTCAATCATGATATGAACTGAAATGACAGGGGCCTTAAAGGAGCACTTCAGCTATTCAGTTTACGGGTCACAGCGAGCACTACTCAGTGTGATAGTCTGACAACAAGATGACAGCGAAAGGCATCGTGGGAATTGTAGGATAATTGTAGCCGTAATGGACTTCGAACCAAACTAGGGGTACAAGTCAGGATATTTGGGCCTCTGCTCCAACTGATTTGACTGTTCTTTTCTAAATATGACTCTAACAAGGCGAAGCAAGGTCCCCCGTCTCCTTTAAAGGAAAAACCTGCCGTGTTGATGGTAAATGTAGTCCAGTGAAGCAATAGATTCCTCAGTGTAGGCTATTTTGAATGAGAAAGCATTTCACAAAAGAAGTCAAAGTATCTCAAATGATGAATGTTGTCTAAAGACAAGCAGCCGGACAACCTTAGAACTTTGTCTAAAATGTGTGTGTGAAAAGAATAAACAAAGTTATGATCAGACGGTTCATGCCAGAGTTTGGCTGGTAACAAAATAGTGTTGAGGTTCAGTACCCAGCACAACATTATAATAATCAAAAAATGATTGCAGCATATGTGGCCTCATAAACATGTAGCTTTAGATTAAATAATAAGAATATTTCTATACCAATGAAAGTCCCAAAATTATAATATAGAATTACAGCACAAAACTAAAATAAAGTTAAGTTAAAAGTAAAGTTCTAGCGTCTTGCCCTGCATCTTCTGGCTACCTTTTTGTTTGTATTTGTTTATCTGAACACACTCCATAGTGTGTCTGCCTGTTACCAGATGCACCAGATGTTACTTAAGCCTTGCTTCGTCCTTTATTACCTTCCACTGGCTGTAGTGCGGTGTGATCACAGCGCGTGTGTAAACAGACCCGAACCTATCCGAGGCCAGCTGAATGAATCACTCTCCGTCAGGGATGCAAGATGGCCACCCCCCAAAAATAGAAGGGCGCTTTATTATTAATGTGTAGCAATCAGGCAGAGCAGACTATTGACTGTGAGCACACACCCCTCAGTCTCCATGTGAGCACCGGCCTGGCTTACAGTCTAAGCGAGGAAGAGCTGAGCGTGCAGTCTCAGCCGAGCAGAAAGACAGGAAAGGTCACGCAGTGTTAGAGAGAAAAAACACCAACCTCTAAAGCCCCCGCACGCTGAGCGACAAATGTTACCTTTTACTTCAAATTCAGCTATTCTGTTAAGTCAGGACTGTGTGGGTGTGTTCTGATCAGATTTTATTAAAACGATAACATCACATTTTGATTTTAAAGTAGCAGCAAAGTGACACTGATGATTTTTAAAAATGTCTACATTTTGTCAAATTAATACCAAAAACAAAGTACGGCGAATCAGACCCTAGCGGTTACTGTTTACAATGTACCATGAACGTACAGGCAACCGTCACCTGAGTACTTTGATACTGAAGGAAAACTTTGATTGATTTCAAACAGATTTGCAGATGTTTATTTAGTGATGGACGTTGGAGATGATGATAACCTCGGAGTGTACGTCAAAATGAATCTAACGTGTGCGTATTAAATGTCCTCGAGCTAATGCTGTAGAATGGTCTTAGCTAGTTGCGTATAATAAGATAAATGTGTGAATACGTCAGAGTTCATTCAGAATATCCTAATATTTTACAGGAAGACAAAAGAGAGAAATAAGAAAAATACATTTATTTCTCAAAACTACAGAAGTTAATTGATAAAATAATGAACAAGGATTACAACTTGGACAATAAATAAATGTATAAATCAATATTCCTTAATCCTGACCTTTTTCCAACTAGGGCACTTTAAACTACAGTAAAAGAAAAGGAGCACAGACAAAGACAGGGACAGAAATAACCACGATTGTGTGTTTGTGTTTGGCCCCATTGCTCATAGTGTAAAGCTGATTATATGACCTCTTAAATCCCACTTTATCTCTCAGCTTTGTTTAGTTTTAAACTACAACCAGGCCACTCTGTTTTGGTCCTGGTATCAGAGATTCCACTTATTGCTGTCTACTGTGTTTCCATGACGACGTTAGGATAAGCGTGAACACAGTGTGTGGCTGTGCGTTGAACAACGTCCTCACACAAACGCTTCAAACATCAAACAACCAATATTCAAACACTAAAAGAGTGACTTTTGTGCAGAGCTATTGACTCCCCCGGCGCGAGGCTGAAAAGATGAGGACGGACGTGTTTGTCCCCGTTGGACGATCTGCAGTAATGGTGTCTCTGTTTGCTTTCCCCCCCCTCAGGCGCGGCGGTGGCGGGGGTGTACCGCGTGGCGGGGAAGGACATGGCGCCGCTGGAGGCCCTGGTGTTAGGCGTGGGCCAGACCGCCCTCTCCGTCATCATCTCCTTCTCACGCGTCCTCGCCACTCTGTGAAGAGGAACCTTCACTGGACAAGCTGCAGCACTGATGCTGAGGCGAGAGCGAGCCACATCGGAGCCAATCGAAGACTTTTCTTTGGTGGTTCGCAGATGGAAGAGGAGGCAGAAGATGCTCTGGACCTTTAGGGGGGGCTGGATGGCTGGAGCGTGAGCGTGAGCGCCAGGCGGAGACGCCGCCATCCTCAGCTCCTGGACTTGAAAGCCATGCTTTTTTTTCAGAGTTGCATCACTTCTTCGTGCCAACAGCCTTCTCTGGGACATCCAGATGCCTTTTATGGCCACTGACTCTTGAAGGCTTTCTGTTGCACCTTTGGGGGCGCGGGGGACGGGGGGGGACGGGGACACACCTCCTTTTAAAAAGAAAAAAAAACAGCAGCGTAATGACCTGTAAGGATGACCTGGCGATCTCCTTCGAACAAAAGTTGAGCAATGAGTGGTGTTCAGGGAGTGACAACCCGACATTTGATCGTCAGCGAAAAACGCCATTTTTCTTCAGTATTGAACATCAGCCTCACCTCTAGGTCTTCACCACGGTCATTCCTTCTCCCTTCAACGGTTTTTTTTAAAGCTGCGCGATCGACCCGCAGCTTTGAGTTTTGCACTTTGTAAATGTTTGAGACGCCCTACGCCTAACGTGGTGTGAAATCAGTAGACGTGGAGGAGAGAAAAACCAGCACTGGCGCTTCGGTTGGTTTGAAATATTGATTCGATGTGCCAACGACACACCCAGGAATATTTCGACATATTTCGGGAAATAACCTCGCTCACTTTCTCGCTGAGAGTTAGATTCACATCTGTACGGTAAATATGAAGCTCGAAAGTTAGCTTAGCTTAGCATAAGGACTAGAAACAGCTAGCCTGGCTCCCTCCAATGGCAACAAAAACCTTCCTACTAGCACCTCTAAAGCTCAATCATTAACATGTCATGCATCTCGTTTGTTTATGTTTATGTTTATGTTTTATGTACCCGACTGTCCGCTGCAACCTAATGGAGCTAAAAGCAGCTGTGGCAAGCCAAGAAATAGTCTGCCACATAGCCCCCTGTAAATCAACAAGTTGTGCGTTCTTACACTTTGTATTAAACAAACGAGATGTCAAGTTACTAATCAGTGCACTTAAGAGGTCCCGGTAGTCGGGCAGGGTACCGATTACTCGGTGGTACCGACGTAATTCGGTCTGTACCCTGAAAAGTACAGAGTTCGGTACCCAACATTTCCTAGTAGGCAGACCCAGGCTACTTGTTTCAGGTCTTCGTGCTAAGCTAAGCTAACTGGCTGCAGTTTCCAGCTTCATTTTCTCTCTGCTCGAGAGTCACATTTTCAGACAAACTCTTCTGCGTCTGGTGCAGATTTTTTGTGATAACGTTGGAATCCAGCCGTGATGTTTCTGACATGGTCTGCTACTTTATGAATTTCCCCCTCGGAAAGCCATCCCTGCCCGGTGAAGTTCGGACGGATTCTGCTGCTCAAGGCGGCCATCTTTTCTATGGCTTCCTCTTTTCTCCGTGTTGTTTATCAACCCATGTTCCTTAAGTTTGACTTTGCATATTGCACTGAAATGAATCTGCCTTGTTTTTAGCACAACCTGCGCTGATACCGCTCCTGGTGTGACCCAATCCGGTAATACATCGTTATACATGCATTACTGTGACTAGAAAGATACACTAGTTTGTATTTCAGTTTAAAGCTCTAGGTTTCTCCCAAATCTCAAACTGATTCTCTTGTGTGCAGCGGGATGAGAGGAGTCCGGTCGCAATGCCAAAGCACCGCTCACGTTCTAGCTTTATTTATCATCTCCGTGTCATTCCATTAATGTCACAGCCACGGTTTATTCACTTTATTCACTTTTTAGAAACGTTTGCACGTTGTCTGGAGCCGCAGACCCGCAGACGTGGCGGCGCAACTTGCAAAGTTAGTATGAATTTGACAAAGAAAGGACGTTTGTGTCGTTAAGCGGTGTGTGGTTTTGCATCTCTAAAATATCATAATGTTCACATGAGTTATGTAATGCCATGTCAAGCTCACCGTCAGTACCAGCTCAGCACACAAGAGGGCGATATTGCACAGAAATGAAGTGGCGGCCTGAATGCCTGGAAGATGATTGTGGATTTTGAAAAAGGATGAATGTGCTGCACTTGACACGTTCTCCATCCTAATTTCCTCCCAAAATTAAAGTGTAAAATTAGAGGAAAGTCATCTGAAACATCACTCGACCCCTTTTTCATCCACTGAACCTTCTGCACACTGTCCACACGACCTATTTTGAATGTTTTAGCTCAATTTCAGGGACCAAATGTGAGTTGCTGCTGACGACCTGCTGTCACGGCGACGGAGTCTCTGTGAAGCTGTTTTTTGCATGTCTGTGTGTGTGTGTGTGTGTGTGTGTGTGTGTGTGTGTGTGTGTGTGT